GAAACCGCGTGGTGTGCGTTGTGCTGTTGTGTGCTAATACCGTTATTTCGGTGGCTACTGCACAAGAAGGGTGGCCACATGCAGCAGCACAGGTCAGCGCAGGGTCTGCCCTGCCTGGGAAGCCCTGTTTACCCACGCCTGAAAACACCAATTGGGAGGTCAGGCCCCGCCTGCCGCCCTCAGGCAGAGAGAACCCACGGAGAGAACGGCTGCATGGCACACAAGCACAGAGGTACAAATGTGCGGGAGGGAGAAGAGGACGTCTCCATGATGCTCAAGGCATCAAGCAAGTGGACATGCCAACGGCCGACCAAAGACCCCTATTTCGAGTGGTGCAATTGGTGAGACACCTTCCAGCCACTCAGGAAGGCTCTGCGCCTCTGGTACTGACCACCAGGCCTTTGTGGGATGTCCCGAATTCCACCACGATCAGTCAAGTAACCTTGATGGGTGGCAGCCTGTCTCCCGCAGCCAGGGAATCTGCCACCTTGGGGAGCTTTTAAGTAGAGTCCATAGAGGGAAGGGATTTTAAGGTCTCTTGTGGGCCCCACCTGCTGCACTCAGAGCACCAGAGTGGGGAGCCGCCCTGACAGGAGGAAAGTGCTACCCACAGGCAGAGTGGGGGGCCGCATAGGCCACGGCACAAGCAGAGCTGATGACAAATCTCCACCACGTCCTGCAAGCTTCACAGAGGGGTTTGTGGTCCCCTTTACTCATCCCCATGTGAAACCCTCGGTTCCCCTTCAGAGGAGTGAGCCCTGAGCCATCCTCTTTGGGCCCTGCTCGCCTCAGCAATGTGTACTTTGTTCTAAAAGAGGGGGGAGGGCCCAATTCAGGCCACCCCACTGTCCCCTGGCTGGGGGGATCAGTGACGTCTCCAGTGGATCATGTCCCAACACGTATGAGGAAACAGCACCAGATAAACACGGGTGTTGGGGAACAAAAGTAACTTCTAGGGAGGCCAGGGCAGCTCTGCGTAACACAGTAGATGCTTCCCATGACATAAGAACATAAGAACATAAGAACGGCCATACTGGGTCAGACCAAAGGTCCATCTTGCCCAGTGTCTCCAGACTTCCAACAGTGGCCAATGCCAGGTACTTCAGAGGGAGTGAACAGAACAGGGTATCATCGATTGATTCCTCCTCTGTCACCCATTCCCGTCCCCTGAAACCCTGAGGCTAGGGTCACCATTCCTTCCCCTCTTGGCTAATAGCTATTGATAGACCTAACCTCCATGAATCTATCTAGTTCCTCTCTGAACCCTGTTAAAGTCCTGGTCTTCACATCATCCTCTGGCAAGGAGTTCCACAGATTGTATGTGTGCTGTGTGAAGAAAAAACTTCCTTTTGTTTGTTTGAAATCTGCTATTTATTAATTTCATTTTGTGACCCCTAGTTTTTATGTCATGGGAACACGTAAATAACTTTTCCTTATTCACTTTTCCCACACCAGGGTGTGTCGAAACTACATGGCTCCGTTGATGGAGCAATGTAGATGAGGCTGATCGGCAGATGGAAATAAAGCCGTGATTTAAATAATCGCGGCTTCATTTAAATTTAAATGGCTGCTGCGCTCTGCCGACCAGCTGATGATCAGCTGTTTGTTGGCAGATCTGGGCAGTCTGGATGCACCGCGGTCGACAAAGAAGTCTTTGTCGACCGGCGCAGGTAAACCTGGTTTCATGAGGCATACCTGCGCCAGTCGACAAAGCCTTCCTTGTTGACCGCGGCACATCCAGACTGCCCCGATCTGCCGACAAACAACTGATCATCAGCTGCTCGGCAAAGCGCAGCAGCCATTTAAATGTAAATGAAGCCGCGATTATTTAAATCGCGGCTTCGCCCCGATCTGCCAACAAACAGCTGATCATCAGCTGGTCGGCAGAGCGTGGCAGCCATTTAAATTTAAATGAAGCCTCAATTATTTAAATCGCGGCTTCATTTCCTTCTGCTGATCAGCCTCATCTACATGGCTCCGTTAACGGAGCCATGTAGTTTAGACACACCCCCAGTGATGATTTTATAGACCTCGATCAAATCCCCCTTGTTCTCCAAGCCTTGTGCTGCCAGAAGGCCCCTGCACCTCTGGAGCAGCAAGAAGGGAGAGTTTCCCAAATGGCAAACTCGGGTTTCCTGCCACTCTACAGGTTAATGGTACTATCCACCCAGAATGGCTACCTGACTGGGTGGGGCACATACGCCCAATGGTGGTGGAGTACTGGTCTCAGGGCTGTGCCCCACTTAGGGCAGCTATCCGTAGGGTCAGGAAATAGATAACCTGGGAATTTCCCTCCAGGGCAAGGGGGAGCAACTTGTGATTTCTGCCAGCAAACGTGGTATCCACGATGGAACATCACTGACCACAGGGGCTCGGGAGGGACACGAGGGGGACTCAGCACCAAACTGCCCTTCACCACCATGATTGCCACCCCGGGCCGTCGGCCACCACAAGAGCTTCCTTCCCTGCATAAAGGGCCAGCAGTTGGACAGAAGGAAGAAAAAGCTCCCCTCCTAGGAAAAGAAAGGCCCGGCCGTGGCATTCGTCTGGCATGCTGCCAGCAGAAGATACACGCTGAAATTCCCCCAAATCACAAGCTGGCGGGTGCTCACTGATGGAGACAGACACATGCTGCATCCCAGCCCCTTCTCAGGCAACAATGATCATGAGTGAGGGGGTGGAGCAGGGCCAGAACGGCCCACCTGGGAAGGGGAGGGCTGCCATGTACCACAAAGGGGGAACACGAAAGAGCCCGAGGATGGACCCATCACCTGGCTAGACACCGCCTTCCACATCCTCATGAGTTATCCGATCAACCAATGGGCACTGAAGAACAACTTGCACCTTCTCTATCAGCTTCCTGTAGTATAAACATTCTAATAACACCCCTTTTTTCCTTCTTTTCCCTTCCCCCCCCCCCCGCCTTCCCTATTTATTTTAGGACGGGGCCTTTAATAGCTCCATACATCTGAAGAAGTGGGCAGGGACCACGCCATCTCATGATACCATCCCCATGTTTTGTTAGTCTTTCAGGTGCTGCAGGACTATTACAGGCAGTCCCCGGGTTACGTACAAGATAGGGATTGTAGGTTTGTTCTTAAGTTGAATTTGTATGTAAGTCAGAACTGGTACATATTGTAGGGGAAACTCTAGCCAAACATTTCTCCCTGGTCTGCTGGGGGGGGCGCAGCTAGGGTGGGGTGCCTCCCCCATTGTCGCTGCCTCCGGTGGCGCGGGGGTCGCTTCCCCCCAGCAGACCAGGGAGACGCGGAGTTAGCGCCCCCCCCCCAGCAGACTAGGGAGACGTGGAGCGGCTTTTCTTGCCGCGGAGGATGCGGGCGGCAGGACCACTGAGATGCGCCGCGGTCCCACCGCCCGCGTCCTCCGCAGCGAGAAAAGCCGCTCCGCATCTCCCTGGTCTGCTGGGGAGGGGCCCACCCCCTTCGTAAGCAGGGATCCGACGTAAGTCAGATCCACGTAACCTGGGGACAGCCTGTAGTTATTTTGAAGTTTTTCCAATTACAAACTAACTTGGTGACCCCTCCGAAGCTCTAGTACAGGGTTTCCCAACCTGGGGGACGCATACCCTCAGGGGGTACGAGAAGCTTGTCAAGAGGATACGGGGAATATTTGGTAAATAACTAGATTATCCTAATTGTATTTGGGCAAAAACACTGACAATCATACATTAGATCATCAGTGCTCTTGCACAAATTCAAGCAACCAGTGTAGACAGATGGCAAGTTTTTGCGCAAAAACAGACACTTTTGCGAAAAACTTGCCGGTCTAGATGCAGCCTCCCTGTAAGAGCAAAACATCAAAAGGTAAAAGTGTCAAGGGAAAAACAAGGAAAGACCTTTGAGGAATTCCCAACACATAGATGTGGGGGAATGGCCATGTCTTGTGGAAAACGTTCCTGGTATAAACACTGCCCCCTACAGTGTGGATACACTGGAGAGTGTCTAGCAGAGGGCAACACAAATGAAGAGGGGGCTGGAGCACATGATTTCCAAAGAGAGGCTGATGGATAGGGGCTTGTTTAGTCTACAGAAGCGAAGAGTGAGGGGGGATTTGATAGCTGCCTTCAACTACCTAAAAAAGGGGTCCAAAGGGACTGGAGAGAGGCTGTTCTCAGTAGTGACGGATGGCAGAACAAGGAGCAATGGGCTCAAGTTACAGTGGGGGAGATGTAGGTTGGGGTACATCTACACTAGCTCGTTAGTTCGAGCTAGGTAGGTTAATTAGAGCAAGGGGAGTTGCAAATGAAGCCCGGGATTTAAATATCCCAGGCTTTATTTGCATGTTCCCGGGCACCGCCATTTTAAAATCCTCCTTAGTCTGAACTCTGTGCCCGTGGCTACACAGAATGAGGAGTAACGGTAGTTCGAATTAGGATCTTCAATTCGAACTACCTTCTCCGTGCCGCGTGTAGCCATGGGCACAGGGTTGGGACTAAGGGGGATTTTAAAATGGCGATGCCCGGGAACATGCAAATGAAGCCCGGGATAATTAAATCCCAGACTTCATTTGCAACTCTGCTTGCCCTCGTTATCCTACCTAGCTTGAACTAATGAGCTGGTGTAGACGTACCCTTGGCTATTAGGAAAAACTATTTCCCTAGGAGGGTGGGGAAGCACAGGGATGGGTTCCCTAGGAGGGGGTGGAATCTCCATTCCTGGAGGGTTTTAAGTTGCTGTTTGACAAAGCCCTGGATGGGATGATTGAGTTGGGTTGATCCTGCTTTGTGCAGGGGGTTGGACTTGAGGACTCCTGAGGTCTCTTTCAAGCCTGGGGTTCTATGATTCTAACCCTTTGAGTTAAAGAGTTCTCCGCACAAAGATTACCCTGTTTCTCATGTGACACAGACCAGTAAGCTCAGGAAATGACATGATGTTTATGTGACATCCCAGTCAGGGATCCAGGAAAATGTACCTGGCACAACGTCACTGGCCAGCTCTACAGAATGATTGTTCTGAGGTGCAAAGCACCAAGAGAAACCTTTAAGTCCCTTTATGAATGAAGAGACGGAGCAGCCTGTCCCGGATCTGTTTGGTCTTCACCCCGTAGATGATGGGGTTCAGCATAGGAGGCACCAGGAGGTACACGTTGGCAAGGAGAATGTGGAAGCTGAGGGGCACATTGTGGCCAAAGCGGTGTGCGAGAAAGGAGAAAAGAGAAGGGATGTAAAAGGATAAAATGGCACACAGGTGGGAACCACAAGTCTCAAAAGTCTTGAGCCGGGCGGCCGTTGTGGGGAGACTGAAGATGGCCCTGAGGATAAGAACATAGGACACAGTGATGAAAATGATATCCACACCCATCATAGCGAAGACCACAAACAGACCATAGTAGTTATTGACACGTATGTCAGCACAGGCCAGTTTCGCCACAGCGATATGCTCGCAGTAGGAGTGGGGGATGATGTTGGTTTGGCAGTACAGCAACCTTCTTGCCAGGAAGGGATATGGCAGCGTGACTGTGCAGCCGCGCAACATCACTGCCAAACCGATCTTGGCCACCACAGGGATCGACAGGATGGTCGAATGTCTCAGCGGATGGCAGATGGCCACGTAACGATCCAGAGCCATGGCCGAAAAGAGTCCTGACTCTATCACGGTAAAGCAGTGAATGAAGTACATCTGCATGAGGCAGGCATTGAAAAGGATCTCCTTGGAATTGAACCAGAAGATTGCCAACATTTTGGGCAAGATGGACGTAGACAGGACCAGGTCAGTGACGGCCAACATGCAGAGGAAATAGTACATGGGCTCATGGAGTTTTGGCTCCCTCTTCACAATGAAAAGGATGATAAAGTTTCCCAAGATGGCTATTACATAAGTGGTGCAGAAGGGGATGGAGATCCAGGCATGGGCTGTCTCCAGGCTAGGAATGCCCATCAGGATGAAGGTGAGGGGGTTGGTGAAGTGGGTTGTGCTGGAATTTGACATGGAGCAGGAGAGAGGGTATCCAACTGTGAAGCAGAACGGTGTCTCCGGAATGTACCATATATTCCTCTGACTTCCTATGCGTACCCTGGATCTATGGTGATGGTCGCAGTAAGAATGCAGACATGCCTGGATGGAGAAACAATGTTAGTATGAGACTCTACATGTGTTGTACTTAAAAGAAGTACTCGGGATCTTTTTCAGGGGGATAAGGCAACACGCCACATTTATTGAACACACATAGAATAATCAATACTTATCATATGCATATGACACATCACACTCATGCACTCTCACATACACACAAGCACCCTCTGTTTTGTGACGTGGGCTACGAGAGTGAGTCAAACGTCCAGTTTATAAGAAAAAGGGGAAGGTTTCAAATGCAAATTTACATCAGTACAAATAAGTTATACATTGTGATATTTGGAGAGTTATCCTAATAAAATGGCAATTATGGAATTGTATGGATATTTAGGCCATTTTGGCCAGCAGCTGCAGACTCAAAAGCAGAGTTCTTCCAAGGGCAAGCACTTGCTAGTTGACTCCCATGGCATCTGTATGTCCAGTCTTCTTAATGAGCTCACTTTCCAGGTATTGGCTTGGATCTGGCTCCCAGACCTCCACCCTTGCAACTGCTGCTGGAGGTGCTCACAAACATTTAACAATCTTAACAAATAATATTAATAATAAATCTAAATACTACTACTACTACTAATAAATCTAAACACTTTAAGTTGTGAGGAACAAATTATGGGGAGTCACTTCCACTTGGGGGAATCATTTTTAATACATTCATATGTTATCCCTACACATCTAGCTCAGTATCCTGTCTGCCGACAGTGGCCAGCACCAGGTGCCCCAGAGAGGGTGGACCGAAGACAATGATCAAGCGATTTGTCTCCTGCCATCCCTCTCCAGCCTCTGACAGACAGAGGCCAAGGACACCATTTTATCCCCTGGCTATTAGCCTTTTATGGACCTAACCTCCATGAAATTATCTAGCTTCTCTTTAAACTCTGTTATAGTCCTAGCCTTCATCGCCTCCTCTGGCAAGGAGTTCCACAGGTTGACTACACGCTGTGTGAAGAAGAACTTTCTTTTATTAGTTTTAAACCTGCTACCCATTAATTTCATTTGGTGTCCTCTAGTTCTTCTATTATGGGAACTAATAAATAACTTTTCTTTATCGGCCCTCTCCACACCACTCATGATTTTATAGACCTCTATCATATCCCCCCTCAGTCTCCTCTTTTCTAAACTGAAAAGTCCCAGTCGCTTTAACCTCTCTTCATATGGGACCCGTTCCAAACCCCTCATCATTTTAGTTGCCTTTTTCTGAACCCTTTCCAAGGCCAAAATATCTTTTTTGAGGTGAGGAGACCACATCTGTACACAGTATTCAAGATGTGGGCATACCATAGTTTTATACAGGGGCAGTAAGATATTCTGGGTCTTATTTTCTATTCCTTTCCTAATAATTCCTAGGAAATCAAGGACTCAATGAAATCAAGGAAAGGGGAGAGCTCAAAAGACATTTTTTCTTACAAGATCTATATATCTTAATACAAAGTTCTAGGAGAAATGTTACAGAGATTCTATAAGAACTCTTCAAAATAGATCTAAAAGGACAAGATCTTAATACAAAGTATAATATCACAGGGATTTCTCCACACATGCACTAATAGAAGTTTTTTTATGGGAAAAGGAGATTGGTCTCTCTTCACCCACTGAAAAATGACATCATCATTATTGAATATGAACTATTGACCCTATTAATGCCAAATCCATATTTGATGGTGTCGTGTGCATCTGTAATTCCTGCACATCTCAGCTTCAAAAACCATAATAGGCCTCAGGTAGAAACAAGACTGTGGAGTCTGGTTATCCCTCATTGACCCTTAAAGCAACCAATCTTACAGTCCTAGAATCCTAGAGCTAGAAGGGACCTCTAGAGGTCATTGAGTCCTGCCCCCTACCCTCACTGCAGGACCAGGCACTGTCTAGACCATCCCTGACAGGTGTCTCTGTAACCTGCTCTTAAACACCTCAGCTGTGTCTACACTGGCATGAATTTCTGGAAATGCTTAAAACAGAATAGTTTTCGTTATAAGTATTTCCGGAAAAGGAGTGTCTACATTGGCAGGCTGCTTTTCCGGAAAAGCCCTTTTCCCGGAAAAGCGTCTGTGGCCAATGTAGACGCGCTTTTCTGGAAAAGAGCCCCGAGCGTCATTTTCGCGATCTGGGCTTTTTTCCGGAAAAGACTCCTGGGCTGTCTACACTGGCCCTTTTCCGGAACAGTGTTCCGGAATACGGACTTATGCCCGAGTGGGAGCAGAATAGTTTTTCCAGAATTGCGGCTGATTTTGTACAGTAGTGCGTCGTTGCTTTTCCGGAAATTCAAGCTGTAGTGTAGACAGCTCGCAGCTAATTCCGGAAAAGCGGCTGATTTTCCGGAATAAGTGGCCCAGTGAAGACACAGCCCTCCAGTGACGGAAATTTCGCAACCTGCCCCAGGCTGGAAAGTTGATGCTGTGAGGAAAGTCCCAAGTGTCTGGTTGTTCAAATCAACCCTTTGCCAGGACATGTGCTTGGATCATTAAAACTTTTCAAAGGTCTGAGCAGAAATAGAGAAATTGTTTGCAGAGGTTCTTGGAATGGGGGAGGTTCCCTACTGCAGACAGACTGAAATGTCTGGGAGCGTTTAGTCGAGAGGCGACAAAGAAGGGGGTAGAGGAAGGATAAGAAAATAAAAGAATAGACCTGACTGTATTCAAATGGACAATCACAGAACAGTTTCCTACCGGCAGTACCTGCAAAGAGTTAGTGCTTCAGAAGGGCAATTCCCTCAAAGCTGTGGTAAATTATCAACAAAACTGACAGAGGGGAAAATTTAGATAGGGAAATGTGAATAAAAATTGGGCATTCTTTCAGGAGAGTTAATCAGATTGCTAGAAATTCTCAGTTCCACAATAAAGGAAACACTCACGTTTGGCTAAACATCTAGTTCAGTGGCAAAGTGAAGGCAGCACTAAAGGGAGGAAAAGCAATAGATGTGACAATGGGGATGGAAAGAAATCAGAGAGTAAGCTATGCCTATTGGAAGTTATAGATAAGTGACATGAAAAACACTAGGAATAGTCCCATGCTTGGCAGGGTTAAGGATCACAAAATGTATGTTATTAAATATATTAAGGACAAAATAAATCGTCAAAATATTTTAGACTCATTCGTAGAGAGAGAAAAGAAGATTACTCTTAATGGGTAGCAGGTTTAAAACGAATAAAAGAAAGTTCTTCTTCACACAGCTTGTAGTCAACCTGTGGAACTCCTTGCCAGGGGAGGCTGTGAAGGATAGGACTATAACAGAGTTTAAAGAGAAGCTAGATAATTTCATGGAGGTTAGGTCCATAAAAGGCTATTAGCCGGGGGATAAAATGGTTCAGAGGCTGGAGAGAGATGGCAGGAGACAAATTGATTGATCATTGTCTTCGGTCCACCCTCTCTGGGGCACCTGGTGCTGGCCACTGTCAGTAGACAAGATACTGGGCTAGAAGGACCTTTGGTCTGACCCAGTACGGCCGTTCTTATGTTCTTATGTACTCATGTTTCAGAAAACGGGAAGCTGTTAAAAAATTGATACATTGCGGATTTGGAAAGAATCAGTTTCATAGAATCTTAGAATCCTAGGACTGGAAGAGAGAGCAGGAGCTTGGTCCTGCCTTGAGGGCGGGGGGCTGGACTCGATGATCTCTTGAGGTCCCTTCCAGTCCTATGATTCTATGATCTGAGGAGTCACTGAGTCCAGCCCCATGCCCAAAGCAGGACAAACCCCAGGTCTATCATCCCAGCCGGATCTTTATCAAGCTGGTAGTCTGAGGTGCATATGATGTGATGAAATAGTTCTCAATCCTTAGCAGTCAAAAAGAGGTAACTGGTTCTGTGGACACGGGGAAGTCAGTGGATGTGATATACCTTGATTTAGCAAAGCTTTTGACATAATCTCCTACATTGTTGGGTAGTGATCAACGGCTCGATGTTTGGCTGGTGGTCAGTTTCAAGCAGGGTGCCTCAAAGGTCAGTTTTGTTCAACAGCTCCATCACTGATTTGGAGGAGGGACTGGATTGCACCCAGGAAGTTTGCAGATGACACTAAGCTAGGGGGAGAGGTAGATACGTTGGAGGGCAGGGATAGGGTCCAGAATGACCTAGACAAAGTGGAGAATTGGACCAAAAGAAATCTGGTGAGGTAATCAAGACAAGTGCAGAGTCCTGAACTTGAGACAGAAGAATCCTAGGCATTGTTACAAGCTGAGGACCGACTGACCAGGTAGAAGTTCAGCAGAAAAGGTCCTGGGGATGACAGTGGATGAGAAGCTGGATATGAGCCAGCAGGGCGCCCTTGCAGCCATGCAGCCTAATGACATATTGAGGTGCATTAGGAGGAGCGTTGCCAGCAGATCTGGAGAAGTGAGGAAGTGGGTCTGGCCCACGAAAGCTCATCATCTAATAAACCATCTTGTTAGTCTTTAAAGTGCTACATTGTCCTGCATTTTGCTGGGGAAAGTCAAACAGAGGGCAAGCAAAATGATCAGGGAGTGAAAAGGATGTGGACACACTGGAGAAAGTCAAACAGATCAAGCAAAATGATGAGGGAGTGAAGCACATGATCTACGAGGAGATGCTGAGGGATTTGGGCTTGTTTAGTCTGCAGAAGAGAAGAGTGAGGGGGGATTTGAGAGCAGCCTTCAGCTTTGTGAAGGGGGGTTCCAAAGATGCTGGAGAGAGGCTGTTCTCAGTGGTGGCAGATGGCGGAAGGAGGAGCAATGGTTTCATGTTGCCATTGGGGAGGTCTAGGTTGGACATTAGGAAAACTTATTTGACTAGGAGGGTGGGGAAGCACCGGGATGGGTTCCCTAGAACCCATCACTAGAGGTGTTTAAGACCTGGTGTGCAAAGACCCTGCCAGACAATTAAAAGAAAGTGAGGTACCAGCCCGCCACACTGACATCTCCATGAACAGCCCTGCAACACGAGAATGCAACAGTCCGTGAGCGTGAACACACAGCTGGCTCCTGAAGTCTTTACTGAATTTCTCCTCTGTTTCTACTTGCTGGGTCCTGAGCAAAGTACAGACACAGCCTCAGAACATGGGTTTCTATTATGCATCTACTGACACCTTTCGCCCTGAGACATCCACTGTGCCTGTGAAACATAGCCATCTCCAGGCTGGAAACCATCAGCTAGAGGGGAGGGTGCACGGAAAAGAGGAAGAGTTTGGCCAGGGATATTGGAGCAAACTTGTCTCCTGTGGCAAGAACCTTGAGATGTTTCTTGGCTGCGCAGAGCAGAAAGGCCCCAGACTGATAGTCCTACCACATTCCCGTTTTACTGGCTTTGTCAGGCAAGAAACAGATACCTGGGAGTTTTGAGATTCAAAGGACTTCCCTGGGAACCCCCTTCGGGTCGCCGTTACCCACATATCTCTTACCCCAGCACCCGACGAACAACCCTACTCCGAGAGCCGACAGAGCGGCGTGCACCACTCACTGTACAGCTCCGGCCGATCCCCTCACGGTGCTCTCAGCCTGTCACGGAGCAGCAGCCTCGGCATGGCAGCAGGGCAGAGACCAGTCTGTCTGAGCTTCTGGGCTATTTATTCAGCTTCTGGAGTAAATAGTCATTAAGAGACGCTCCCAGAGGGAGACGAGACACTTTTACTTTGTATTGAGTCACAGAGGAGTTGGCTGCTCTGAGGATTTGTGTATAATTACAAATTTCAGTGGATTAGGGAGAAAACACTTGGAATAAATCTCATTCTCCTGAGGGTAATGTAACCTTGGAATACCTTGAATGGGTGTTTGGACAGTGGGCGGAAGACCAGGAGAAAGATGATTGAAGGAAGACACAAGCATTTTCTCCAGATGTGCAGGTTGTTGAACATGGAACAGAGCTTAGTAATTGTCCTCTGTCACTATCGCCACAATGGGCAGCACCTTTCGCTCAAGGATCAAGCATCTATTAAAGGAAAAACCCATTGAACAGATCCTCAGAGTACACCTACTCAGTGGCTTTTTTTTTGGATTAACGTACGTTATTTCAAAATATCACAGTGCACGTCTACACAGCAAGCCTTTATTGCAAATAATGAGCTAGAGACTTCTTACTCTGACTCCTGTTACCCTCATTTCACAAGGAGTAAGGGAAGTCAGAGAAAGAGTGCTCTTCCATCAACTTCCTGCTGTGTACACAGTGCCAAAAGTCTAATTATGCTATTTCGATTTCAGTGACGCAATTGACCAAGCTGAAGTTGCGTAGCTTTGTTCGACTTTTGCCCATATGTGTAGACATGCCCATAGGGTACATCTAAACTACATGGCTCCATCGACGGAGCCACATAGATTTGTTTTTTTGGCAAAGGAAAATGAAGCCGTGATTTAAATGATCGCAGCTTCATTTAAATTTACATGGCTGCCGCTTAGAAAAGAGGAGACTGAGGGGGGATATGATAGAGGTCTATAAAAGCATGAGTGGTGTGGAGAGGGTGCATAAAGTACTGATTTCTTACAGTAGGAAGTCAGTGCTTTTCTGCAGTGATCAGTTCTAGCCTTGATGCTATTCAATCTGCTCATTAATAATCTGAAAGGAAATAGAAAATCCCTGTGGATAAAATTTGCATATGGCCCTAAGATTGGCAGAGGGGTTATAAAGATTCGGTCAGGACAAGCATAACGATTGATCTGGAGCATTTATTACAGTTATTTGCAAAGTTATCTCACAACTGGGGATACAGCCTAAATCCCCCGGCTACAGCTCAAATGTCCCAGACTGCAGGGGCCTAGTAAGAGTTTGAGGGGTGATTATGGTGAATTGACTCATAGTGAGTTCTCAGTGTGGTGCTAGGGTGGAAAGGAAGTTTAATAGGCAGCAGGTTTAAAACAAACCAAAGGAAGTTTTTGTTCACTCAGTGCACAGTCAACCTGTGGAACTCCTTGCCAGAGGATGCAGTGAAGGCTAGGACTCTAACAGGGTTCAAAAAAGAATTGGCTAGATTCATGAAGGTTAGGTCCATGAATGTATATTAGACAGGATGGTAGGAATGGTATCCCTAGCCTCTCTTTGTCTGGTAGTAGGTGAGGATTACCTGTTGTGATCCCTCCCACTGGAGCATCTGGCATTGGCCACTGTCGGCAGACAGGATACTGGGCTAGATGGATCTTTGGTCTGACCCACTCTGGCCGTTCTTATGTTAGGGTATATCTACACTAGCCCTCTAGTTCGAACTAGGGAGGCTAATGTAGGCATTCGAAGTTGCAAATGAAGCCCGGGATTTAAATATCCCGGGCTTCATTTGCATCTTCCCGTCCAGCCTCCATTTTTAAATCCCCCTCGTCCGAACTAACTGCCCACGGCTACACTGGCTTTGTCAGGCAAAAACCAGCCATCTGGGAGGTTTGAGTTTCAAGTGATTTCCCTGGGAACCCCCCTAAGATTGCTGTTTCCCAACGTATCTCTTACCCCAGCGCCCGCTGAACAATACCATGCCGAGAGCCAACAGAGTAGAGGGCACCACTCACCGTAGAGCTCCGGGCGATCCCCTCACGGTGCTCTCAGCCTCAATACAGAAAATCATGCATGGAAGCAGCCTGGAGACCTGCCTGGCTTTGCTTCTGGGCTATTTATCCAGCTTCTGGAGTAAACAGCCATTAAGAGACGCTCCCAAAGGGAGAGGAGACAGTTCTGTTTTGTATTGAGTCTCAGAGGAGTTGGCCGCTCTGTGCATTTCTGTATAATTTAACATTTTAGTAAAATAGGAAGAAAACACTTGGAATAATAGCTCCATCTCCCAAGGTTAATGTCACCTTGGAATACCCTGAATGGCTGTTTTGACAGCAGACAGACAGACCCGAGGAAAGATGATTGAAGGGCGACACAAGCACTTTCTCCAGATATACAGGCTGTTGATAATGGAACAGACATCAGTAATTATCATCTGTCATTATCACTATACTGGGCAGCAACATTCACTCCTGAATCAAACACCTACGAAAGTAAAATCATGAGGAAGAGATCCACATATAAACAAGGAATCCTGTGGCGCCTTAGGGTACACCTACACAATGACGTTATTTCAGAATAACATAGTGCACGTCTACACAGCAATCCTTTTCTGCAAAATAATATTAAGCTGGAGGACTTCTTACTCCGACTCCTGTTACCCTCATTTCACAAGGGCTGTGTCTAGACTGGCCAGTTTTTCCTCAAAAGCGGCCATTTTTCCGGAAAAACTTGCCAGCTGTCTGCACTGGCCACTTGAATTTCTGCAAAAGCACAGGCTTCCTACTGTATGAAATCAGTGCTTTTTGTGGAAATACTATTCTGCTCCAGTTCGGGCAAAAGTCCTTTTTGCGCAAATCTTTTGTGCAAAAGGGCCAGTGTAGACAGCTGAGATTTGTTTTCCGCAAAAAAGCCCTGATTGCGAAAATGGCGATCGGGGCTTTTTTGCGGAAAAGTGCGTCTAGATTGGCATGGACACTTTTCCGAAAAAAGTGCTTTTGCGGAAAAGCGTCCGTGCCAATCTAGATGCTCTTTTCCGAAAATGCTTTTAACGGAAAACTTTTTCGTTAAAAGTATTTCCGGAAAATGATGCCAGTCTAGACGTAGCCTAGGAGTAAGGGAAGTCAGAAGAAGAGTGCTCTTCCTTCGACTTCCTGCTGTGCAGACAACGTCAAAAGCCAAATTACGCTATTTCGACTTCAGCGATGCAATTTACCCAGCTGAAGTTGCGTAGCTTAGTTCAACATTTGCCCTTTTGTGTAGACATGCTCTTAGGGTCTGTCTACACAGCAAAGTTATTTTGAAATAACAGCTGTTATTTTAAAATCACTTTCCTAGCGTCTACACTGCCATTCCATTATTTCGAAATTAATTCGAAATAGCGGAGTGCTCATTTTGAAATTGGTAGACCTCATTCCATGAGGAATAGTGCAAATTTCAGAATTGCTATTTCAAAATAAGTGCTGTGTAGACACTTATTTCGAAATTGGGGGTCTCCAGTCCTTCCCAGGGTGTCCTGCTGGCCGCCCTGGCCACAAGGTAAC